CCTTGCACCTCGCGAAATGCTCCCACACGACCAAGCGTCTCGATTAGCCCCTCTCCAAGAAGCCCTACTCACTGCCTTCTCGCGGCGGAGGTGTTTTCCCACCAAAGTGAGGGGACGAAAAGCCGATATCCGAGTCTATAGCCGGGTTGGTGGACCACTGGCAGTTCACCTAGGGGAGTTGGCCAAAATCCCTGATTCCAAACCAACCATGAGGAGACGTACGAACCACACCCACACCTTTTCGGTCGTGGCAGTGGTCACCGGCTCGATTGGGCATTGAGGTGTATTGGGCACCTTGGATGTCTGACCCCGTCCAAAGGGCGTATGATCCGATGAACTAGACACCGGCTCCCAATGGACTGCGGTTTTCGCACATCGCCCCGCTGCCTTGCGGGTCAGGCTTTGGCTAGCCAAAGGATCCGGTTGTGGATTCCTCAGAAAATTCACCTGCCTTGCTTTGGCAAACTGGCAGTACTCAGCCCCACAAGCCAATCATGGAACATTTTTCTTTTTATAAAGATTATTGTACCATGATTTGTTTGCCACACAGTCTGTCCTCAGACAAATGTAGAATATATATATATATATATGAGTTATTGGGTCTTCGAAAAGTTTGAAAAATATCAGAGTAAGACATTTGACAGTATTTCTCTCCTTCATTCGCTAACTCACCTCTCTGCATCTCATCTCGTCCTGTCTTCCTAATCAGTCGAAATGACCGCGTATTTAAACTTCTGTCGTGGTCTTCGTTTTGACAATCGACCGGATTACTCATATCTACGCAATCTCTTTCGAAGCCTGTTCCACCGTGAAGGCTTCACTTATGACTGTGTGTTTGACTGGAACCTGCTCAAATTCACCGGGAACGAGCAACAACAACAGCAGCAGCAGCAACAACAGCAACAACAGACCAACTCAAACATGCTGACTAACGAAAGTGCAGCTGCTGCCGCGGCCGCTGCTGTCGCCCAACAGACGCAGCAGACCCAGCAACGTCGTGCGCAACAGCATCACCATCATCATGAGGAGAAAAATAAAAGTAAGTGGTGACCATGATTACATTCTCACTGCTAATAATGGTATGCACCGTACATCATATTCATTGATCATTTAGCCATTTGCTCCGTTTCTCTGCACTATGCTATTCAATAATTCAGAGTATTATACTTGATCGCTCTGCGGTTGTGGAAAATGGACTTGTGCAAGTAATATTCTAGAGTTCGATTAGGTTCCCGAACAATGCATTAAACGTTTAAATTGTTCAACATAGATATAGATGATCTATCACCTACTTTTAGACTACTCTGCTTTTTCTTTTACTCGACTATCTATCCGGTTTTCCCATTCCTACTCTTGCTTTTTCCTGTTTCGATAATATTTTAGTTCACAACGTTTTCTCTGCTAAGCCTCTTATTAAATCGTGTGATCATAAAGGATCTGGTGCTAATCAATCCATAGGAACGCTTGTTAGCGTTTTGATATCGACGTCTATACACAACCACAATATGCCTGACTGCCGTCAACGACAATGCTTATCCCGCCTGACGTATGAACCATCGTAAATCAATCGCCCATTGTTTCATTTTTCGTACCTACTACTATCAGTCATGTCTGGTTTTCAGATAAAGCGTAACGAAACCGTCATGGTGCATTTATCAAGACTGTGGTTTCATCTCACGATCGGTAAATACTTCATGCTTTTAACCCGTAATGCAAGTCGGGACGGGAGGTTAGGAGTATATGGGCTATATATATATATAAAAAGTGAATTCGTCGTGTATATAGCAAATGAAGGGTGAACTGAAAAGCTAGGAAGCACTGGGCGGTTGTTTCAACCTGGTTGGGTCTCATCAGCATTGCGAATCCATCGACCCAACTGTAGACCCCATAGGCAGAACGCAAGCATGCTACCCACAACGCGACCGGACAGCTGATCAAAACGTTTTTCACTTTCCATTTACAAAATATAGCGCAAACCATCTTTGCGAGCTTGCTGCGAGCCACGGACCCAGCTGATCTCAGCAATAGCCTCCAGGGTTGTGACCGGGTTGGAAGCATTCACAACCTGGCTACTTATTTCGAGTGAGTAATTGAGGGATTGATTGGATTTCAAAGGTTTCCAGTTGGATCGATGGATTCGCACTGCTGATGAGACCCAACCAGGTCGAAGCAGATGTGCAGTGCTTCTTAGCATTTCAGTTCACGCTTCATTTGCTATACGCGATGAATTCACCTTTGAAATCGGATCAAATCCTCCATTACTCACTGGATATATATATTTTATAATAAGTAATATGTGAATGACTGGAAAAAAATTTCCATGGAAGCACACGACCGGTTTTGCGGTTCTTACCCCTCGTCAGGCTTGCGTATCCGGTAATATTTCATCAGTTCATTCATATACTTGTACCCAAGAAGTGTATTTTCGTCACAACAACCTTGTTTACAACGCCGGGTGACTTTTCGGTAGACAGCTCTTTTAGAGCCAGTCCATTGAAGAATTAATGCTATGATTCGATGTTTGTAAGTGGGTTAGATGTATCTATCTATCTATCTATATATATCCACATATTTTTCGCACACCCAAATTAGTTAGTTGCAGAATACAGTTAACTAATTCAAATAAAACTTATTCCGGCTCGTGGTTAGCTCCGAATAGGATATCAGTGAATCGATAGAGATATAACTTGGTCGATGAATGATGACCCTCCCCCCCGTTTCGTGTCTTGACCTCATAGGAGGGGACACCAAATAGTACATGCTAGTTGTCATTCAGATGCAGTTTTCATGAATTGACGAATTGTGAAGTGCTCTGAAAAAGAATTCAATGAATCCATGCGGGTGCTTTTGCTTTGATTGATCAATTGGCATAAACTTTCCTCGGCTGCACGCGTATATAAACTCACGCGCGAGTTTAAACAAATGTGTGGATGGTCGATATGCATTCTGACCATCTTTGCAAAAAAGAGTGCTCTGCAAGGGTCTATCGTGCGATGGTGATGGAGTGATGGATAGAAAATAGTCAATATTAGGTCTGTTCCAATTCTTGTCTGTTAGGGTGTTCCCATCCCCAAGATCGCTTATCCAACTCCTGTGTACCACTTACACCAACATGTCATCACGGGTACTGGTTAGGATATCTGGATTTATCGCACGACAAACCAAATGACTGTTGAAAATAATACGAACTTGCCTTGTTAAACTGTGGTCAATGGTTTGCGTGTGTAGGTGTCATTCCGGAGCGTAACCCAGCCACTTGCTCAGGGTAATCGTGCCTCGACCCGGAACAATGCTTTAAACTNAAACTGTACGGAACATGAATTGAGAGAGTATGCAGTCTAGTTCCTCCAATGTGCAAACAATGGAACCTGGAATCAATAATACGGTCTAACGGCTTTTGCGCATATCCATACAAGCATCACCGGACTGTGTGATTGTTCTGATGGAGAATGAGTGATCATACACAAGAGCATTGCAAGTTAAGAGGCCTCGTTAATATTCAAACATACAGTACAGCTAGGTGTTCATAGAAAGGTCACCATGGAATCTATGTTCAGGTGTGCAAGCGAAATTGTGTAGAGAGCTTACGATTAAAAGCGGCTTAGCAACATCACTGGCGTTCTAGTCGACGGAATTTTCTGACTGAACCCTCCCTGGTGAAAGTTTTAAATGGCAAAATTATTATGGGTTCGGTACAAAACTGGAGCCTGTTGATTTCTATAAGATCTTCACGTACTGTATTGGGATGGTAGTACAAATAAGATAATCAATATATGCATTCACTCAAGGGTTTTGGATAGTTAAGTATTTCATTGCTTGCTTGAGCCCTTGCTTGAACGAATCGATCATAGATTTTTGCATTCACATTCCTGTTTTATATGTGGATTTTTGTCTTATTTTTTCTTTGAACATTTACGTTCCTCTTCAGTTCACGTCATAAAACCAATATAGTTGTCTTGTTGAACCGTTTCAGTTTAACTTTTTTTGACTGACCACTTGAGTGTAGGCGTAGCGAGAATAAGTACTATACTAGTAAGGAGTACCGCGGAAAAGGTACAAAATTCTCATAAGCTGTATGTACAAAGAAATTGAGTGGATGCACAATGACACTGTTTACCACCTCACGGTGTTGCTGAATATCAAATCGACTGATCCCATCGTTCGCAACTCGGGTGTCTAGCGCATCCCATGCCTACCAGTTCATCGTTCAGAGTTTTCGTACACTCATGGTGGTCCTTCGTTTAACCAAGTTCTGCCTTCTTTCATCCGTTACCCGTCCAGAGGAAAATCACCTACCGAACAGTCCTATGTAATGACATGCGTAAAATATGTTCCAGCCAACTTAATCAATGGAGCTCTCTCATTTACTCCAGGTACGTTTGCCACTAGTTACGTCTCTTTACGCGTAACAACGTCATTGTGTGTCCGGTCGCCCCATCAGAATTAAGCAATGCGACGTAGTTAGCGGTGATCGAGCACTAACAGTGTGTTTTACTATGGTTCCCGTAGTCGAGATTTTGTACCATACAGAAGAACCGACCGGACTG